TCAGCTTTAGGTTTTCCAACATCTGATGCTCTGAAATAAAAATATATTATTGCATGTTCTTGATTAGAAAAGAAATTTACAAAAAAAAATATATATATACATTTTGCAATATTTCACTGTATTTATACATTAATTCAGCTGCTATATTAAACAGTTCCCCCAAACAATAAAAACACAATTATTTTCCAATGCCTAGAAAAGATTAAACTGTTACTGAATGATCTTTATACTAAATTCTTTTGACCAATTTGTCATTTAAAAGAAAAAGTATTATCGAACATAAAAAAACTAACCAATGTATCCTTCAATATTTTAACACATTACTAAAGATAAACTAACTCAGTGATTGTCATATGATCACAAATGACTCAGTAGCAAATGAGTCTACTGATAGGTTTAGTATAAGGATTTTGACATTTGATATTTTTGTTTATATAAACACTCAATGTTATTCAAGATAGTAAACTAAGAAAATTTTGTTTTTCGTTCATTTTGTTAACACAATGCACAACTCTCTTATTGAAAAACAAAGGGAAAAGTTGGTTTTTCAACTGAAAAAAAAAACAGGTAAAAGGATGATTTTCAGTGCCACAAATGCTCAGGGGATTAAACCAAGGACGGATTAGAGTAATAATGTAACGTATATTAAATAACACAAATGACAAACTCTTTATTCAATTAAAAATGCCTAAAAATTGTAAATGGAAAATTTTTCATTAAAATCTATACACACTGTGTATAAGTTTTAATAGGAATTCTTTCGTTTGTGATCTTTAATCGTTGTTTTTAATGAAATATGAGACACAGCATCTCTATGCTTTTTAAGAAATAAACATCAATTTTTAATCAAATTCATGTTTTAGTTGAATATGATCAGGACCTGTACTACAAAGAAAAGAATTCCTTTTCAATTCTGCAATCAATTAGTAAAAACCATGACTTTTTATATTAATTACATAATTATAAGATACACATTTAGACTAGACTAATAAAATAAATTTTCATGAAATTGATAGAATGTACAAAGTGCAGTTTTAAAATTTAATGTACTAGATTAATGATTTATTTAAAATAAAAAGAATGGTTTATAATAAGTGCATGACTCTAATACTAAACCAACTTCAATTATACTTTCAACTGCCAACTCTCCTACTTATATTTGTATATAAGAAACAAAAATTGCAATGATTTTCTGACTGTTAAATTACGTGATATTCAGTAAACGGCATTAAAATTTGAAGAAAAAAAAATTAAAATAAAGCTCAGGGAGCAGTTGGAATGAGATCGGTAATGAATTCCAACCAGAATCAGTTTCCAACTGGAATTGTGAAGCTTGAGATAAGAAAAATCATTTCCTGAAGGAATGCAATGGCACTCCATCTGGAATGATCATTCCACATATTAAAATGCATATTGAATAGAATGAAATGATTATAATTAATATAGCAAAAATGCAGTTAAAAATCGGTTGATACAAAATTTGCGAATTGTATTACAAATATAAAACAGAAACTAAAAGTAAAATTGAACTAATTTAGTCCTCCAGTGAATTCACTAGCATTTGCTGAATTCTAGTTACAGAAGTTGCAAAGCAGATAAATTAATTATTTTTAAGTGATTTTTATAAACAAAGTTGGAACCATCAAAACCACTTATGATAGTGAATTTGTATCAAACATTGCCCTTTAATTTTATTTTAGATTTACTGAGAAACGTAACATCTAATTTGTTGAATTGTAAGAAGTGTGATTTCTTTGCAGTTTTTCAATTCAACATTTGTTCAATGAGCCTTTTTGTTACCAAATTAACATCCATTCCAAGCTTTTACTCAACAGTGCTGAAAAATCCTACTCCAAGAGATAAACTTTATAGAAAAATTCTTAAAAAACAAACAAGCAAATTAAAAAATATGGTGATATTTAAAAAACAATGTTATTTTGATTCTGGTATCCAGCCTTATCAGTTAACCATGAATAATATTTACTAATATAGAGAATTCCCATTGCAGTCGGCATTCTATTAATAAACACTATTACAGGCTTCAAATGAAAAACAGACTCTACTCCCTACTAAATACCAACATTCAGAAAAACTAAAATTTAGCAACTGATACCAAATTATTGATTTCCTTTTTTTTTAGAAATAATTAAGATTAAATTAAAAAACAAAAATATAATAAGTAAATAATTACAATACAAAATATTCTCAAATACATAACATAAAATATTTACCTAAATAAGAACTGCCGATTTAGATTGGAAATTTCAATTGTATCCATATCAATGACATCAATATTTCGAAATCCAAGCATAGCCTATTATAAACAGAAAATTTTATTTGAGATTACAAGTTTAGAATTTAATAATAAACCTTTTACGCTAGAAGTGAAGGAAAAATTTCAGATTTTTCTTCGTAGTGTAGTTAAATGCCGAATTTCGTTTCTGTGACATAGATTTTTTTTTTCATACTGTAGCGGAAATTTGATTAAAATTGAACAAAAAACAAAACTCGCAAAAATCATAAAGAAGTGGAAAAATAGAGGATTCTCATTCTGTTATACTTCTTAACAAGTCGCAAAAAAAGAAAAAAACATTTTTCATTCAATTTTTTATTTATTTATTTTTTTTGGAATGGGGGGAGGAAAAGAGTCTATTTTGACTGTTAAAAATGGTCCAGTAATGAGATACTTCCGGTAAATAGACGCCCTGATATTGGGCTACGTACTGTATTATCTTTACATAAGATCTGTCAAACAAAAATGGAAAAAAAAATAATGATTCATTACTTGTGTGGATACAGCAATAAGCAAGAAATAACTGCTATGATTTCATGATATAAATTACATATTTTCTACTTATACCATTTTATCAAAGACAGATATTTTCTACAAAATTTTACAATACCTAGAATTTAAGTATATTGAAAACAAATATTCCAATTAAAAAGTAAAATAAAATTATACGAAAGAATTATTAATTAAATTATCTAATTTTACTCGTTATATAAAAAAAGAAAAAAAAACGGACATTGTTAAAAAGGGGACATATTAATAAAAGAACTGATTAGAACAATTATGAAATCAAAGAGATTTGTTTATGATTATACGAGTGTAAGTTATAGATATTGAAGAAATATTGCAATAAATAAAAATGAAATCACATTCACAAGTAGTATGAGTTCACAAATCATCCGGAAAATAATACTCACTAAATTTTTCAAAAGTTCGCATCCAAGACCACCGGCTCCAATAACAAGCACATTACACACATTGCGCACAAAATCAAAAACCTAAAA